TGTTTTCTATTGTATATTTATAATTGGGCTTTAATTAAGCAAAAGTATGTTTTATCCGATTACTCGATTAGAATATTCGATAGAATACTTGATTACCAAAATATTCGATAGCTGCAGCCCTACTCTTTTTTAAATAAATGTTTAATCATTTTTCACTACAAACATCTGGCCGGCCAAATTAAACCTTATGGCGGCCCAACTTTGGCTCCACTTTGGATGGCCTTGGTGTAGCGAGAGCCAAAGCCCCACCCAGCCAGTGTAATTTTCCCACAAGGTCTTTTTTCCTCAGTCCGTAAAAAGGATGAAACCAGATACTAGGATCTTGTGTCCATATTCCAATGGATTATTTTGTTTTCATTGAACAACTATAGCTCCCTTGAGTCTTAGTCATAGGTGTCAAAACTTGTGAAGGCTATAGTATAGTACATATACAAAATAATTGGTTGTAATGACTCAGATTTAGCTCAGAATATGGACAGAAAAGCCCAGTATTACGTTTCAGTTTTTAGATGTATGAAGAAATCCTCAATGGGAAACAGAAACTAGCCCAGAGGTGGGGCATTCTTTGGCTCTTTATTGAGAGCATCAGCCATTTTGTGTAATGGGCCTGCTTCTTAACAATTTGATTTACCAGTCAGAGCACATTTATAGACTGGGTTGCCTCCAATGTGTTGATGTGTCATCAAATAAAGATGAATCCTGGACCAGAATAGAAATCAAGTGTTGGAGTTCTAGATTATTTCTAATCACATTTTAGTGAAGTTCCAGAACAGAGGTGGCAGCCAGCTGAGGCAGAACAACAAAACAAAGTCTCTCTCTTTCTCTCCCCAGTATGTGGACCTTAACTCGTCCCGTAACCTCCTCATCCTCGGCTTCTCTACCTTCAGCGGTCTTGTTTTACCTACCTGGTTTCACTCCAATCCTGGCATCATTGACACAGGTGATTTTCCGACAGACATACACTCACTTATGCTGCACACACACACACAAACAAATTGTCTTGTCACTGGCTCAGTCCTTTAGAGATAGAGACATCCATGACAAACTCTTTTGCTGCTTCTTCATAAAGTAATTTGGACAGAAAAGATGAAGAAACAGGGCAGTTTGAAAAGGCTGACAATGCAAAGTGAGCTGTGGCACCTGATGGACTAGACTCTCAAACATCCTTGCTTGTTCTCACAGGGTTGTCTTTATTTCTTTTGTTACAAAATGTCCACAGACCTGGTCAGGAGGCAAACAAATATGGGTAAACCAAGTAAGTGGTACGTGTCAAAACACCTGCACCTAATATGTATAACTTCAGACGCCACCCAAACATGTGTTAACTTGTATACAGCACTGGTTTAGTTCCGAGCAGCAATGTGCTTCAATTTTTTAGAATGACATTTGCTCCCAAGATCAATATCATCCCAACTACTGAACCTTGACTACTTTGTCAGTTTCACTTTAGAATCCTTCAACACCACAGATTTGATCTGGCGACTCTCCAACAAATACCATATTCACCCATACCTTTTTCTCACTGTGTTGGTGACAATGCTTTTTTCTTTTTGAAGCAACTCAAAAATGCATTTTGGGTAAGTTTGTTCTCAAAAAAAAAAAAAGAGACAGAAATTGACACAAGCTGTAAATCCTTATCAGAGGAGCAACACGGCCCAGTGAGTGGGAGGCTGTGTGCTCCCACTGCTCCACTTACAGATTACCCTGGAAAAGATGGCATCGATTCTGCCAGCCTAAGCTTGTAAGGCCAAGGTGTTCCCAAATCCCACTGGCCCAGATGGCAAAAACTTGGCAACCTTTTGTCTTTAGCCTAGATTTGAAAGTGGCAATGAGAGCCTTTTTAATTGTCTTAAATGCTCCTGAACTTTGAATTATTTTTTTTGTTTGTCTGTTCCCCAAATAGGCAGTTTAAGGATAGAAATGTCAGTCAGTTTATATGTCAGTTGGTCAGGCAGTCGGATCCCACCACATTGGTCTAGTTGGGTGTAAGAAGCTGTTCAGCCTGTAGGGGGGGTATTGTTTTGCCACCGATTACAGATATTACTGATTGACTTCCATGAATACTTTAATCAGGTATTTTACAAATAATTAGTGATTTTTGAGTGCATTATGATCATAAAATCTGACTACTATGCTACTGCCTGAAAAGATGTAATGTGGAAAAAGATTCAAGGGGAAGAAATTAGGCTACTTGGGTGAAAGAGGACATAACTCTCACACATCACCACCAGGTTTAATCTGGATTAGACTGGATTTAGTGGTGCTACTAAATTAGTTGTGTCTTCCAGTGTACACAAATGGCAGTGGTTGTGGGTGCAAAGCCAGTGAGTTCATTAGTGTCAGCAGTGATTGGTTAGGTAGGGTTAGGTAGGGTTAGGTAGGAAGAGAAAACCAGTAGAAAACTGGAAAAGGAAACTTGAGAAAAAACATAAAAAAAGATAAAAATCTAGACAAAAAAGTAAAATATTCTCAACTTCACATTACATAAACACACATGCACTCATACACGTACAAGCATACCCACAACAGGTAGAACCCAATTACACTAATCCAGTCATGAAACATTAATCCAACAGATGCAATTAGACCATGTGGAGCTTTTATAAACACAAGTCTGATCAATCAGAGATCTTAGAACCAATCAGAGATCAATTGAAAGCTGTCAGCTGATGATTCCCTGCTTTTGATGACCCATTGATTGGCTGCATAGTGGGTTTGTAGCCACCTCCAATGAAGTGCCATCAAAAGAGCAATCCACAAGATTAAACAGCTCTTCTCTGCAGACATAAGACCTTGATCCCATGAGTCATGTGATGCAAGTGTCTATCAGGAAAGTGCTAATCCAGAGTTATACACTGGGCATGAGGGCTTGTCTGGTTTTCTCAGGTCTAGGCTGCTTACCTCCCAATCCTCTTGACAAGGCGCCATGTCACCGGCTGTAATCTGCCTGGCTCAGATAAAGCACTCTTGCCCAGTTTTTCCTCACTCAGATGATAGCACCACACAAGAGGAGGCCTGTCAATGCTCTTTGTAAACAAACTGCTGCTCACCCAGACGTCTTTAGATGTAGGCTGTGGGACTTAAAATCCAGCTCAGCGGGTGCCTTGAACTTTTGACTGCTGCCTTTCTGAGCAGGAAGTGTGTGTATGTGCCTGCCTGTGTGTCTGTGTTTGGATGTGTTCTTTGAATAAGAATGTGTTCAGAGCCAAACTACGTCAGGGTTGTTTGCAATTCTTGATTCAATTCAATACAACTTCATTAGGCAGTTTATTGCCTGAGGGGCATTATGAAAGTAGGGAATTGGACATGCAGGCATCCACATTTTCAATGGCGCTCTGTATTCACCCATGTGCTGGTGGTAGCACATGCTACAAGAAAGGCCAACTCTGACTCAGGATATTGGAGTGCCACGGTGGTCTAGTGATTACAGAGGCTGCCCCTCAGCCACCAAAGCCAGTTTCAAAAGTCCAAATATCTGGACATTTGTGGACCTGCAGACTTAACAACACTCTCCTGAGTTCTGCTGGATTAATCTCCATTATCGTGACTCCTTAACTCTGCCACTCTTTAAGGGAAGGTTAGTGCAATGGCTACAAAGCTTTAGTATATAAGGCTCCTTACATAACCCTGGTGTAACCCGCCCATGTAAATAGTTTTAATTTAACTTGGCCAGATCTGAGATATCTGCCCCCCCCCGCACAATAGAGGTTGTTTGTGGTGCCTACAAAATAGAAATATGACATTCAGCTCCAATGGAAATCTGTGGATTATCCAGAGTAAGTGAATAAGTGTAAGGAAAAATATAAGGGTTTTACTCCTCAGGAATGAAAGAAATATTGTACATATGGGGTTTTGCAGAAATGTCATTCTCCCACTCCAACACAGAGACAGATATCTCAAAATCGTCCTGGCTAGATATCACTCAGGCTAAGAGAGAAAATATGTCTTTCTGTGAATTGGGTGAACTGATCCTTTAACTTCCTACACAGGAATGCTGGATAAACTTTGATCACTGAAGTTATCCAGAACATCTTGCGCCTGCCAATATACATTTAATGATGACAATGTTGTTTTTGGACATGCGGAGGGAATTAAAATTCAAGGTATACAGCTCAGAGGGTTTAACACACACAGATATGGGTTGTCGGGCCAAGAAAGCCTTTCTGGCCAGGTATGACATCCATTCAACAGATGTATCGGAGATGGACCGTGTGTTGATTGGCTGTTATCCTGTCCTGCAGAATTTACGGTCAGGCTCCAGTTGCTGTTGGGTTTGGTTTGAGGCAGCTTGTATTTCTTTTAGTTTTATTAGGCTGAACTTAAAGCATACCTCTGACCTCTGTGTGGAGAGGGCAAGAGCAAAGACAATCTCCCTCCAAGATTTACTGTATAGTTCACAAGCTACTGAAGGGTAACAAATGACAAATATGTATTGCCTTCTGTGTTTGAAGGAATAACAGAGTTGGACCAAGTGATTGTAGTGCTCTTCACCACACACATGTTCATCGGAGGATTCTTTGGGTTTATCCTGGACAACACAATTCCAGGTATGACAGAATACTTGTGTTAATAAAAATAAATTACCAAACAAGCCATAACATCACCATCAGCAAACATTTTCTTTTCTTTTTCAGGCACCGACAAAGAGCGCGGCATCAAGAACTGGCAAGACAAAGCACAAGAGCAAAGCAAAAACATGTGTGACCAGTCGTGCTATGATATTCCTTTCTGCAATGGTATTTTGAAGAGGTATAGATGTTTCAAGTACTTGCCCTTCCTCCCTACTTACAAGACCACCCAACAGGGGACATCCATGTAATGTAATAAAGTGTTAACTTACAGGGTAGCATTGATGCTGTCCATTAGCCATGTAAAGGTAAACTGTTAGTTGAGCATTAAAAAAGAAAAATGCAAAAATTGGCTTCTATGCTCACCTATGCTAACCCTGTGAGCACAAAATGGACGGGACATTATGTTGTCTAATTGCTCTTATATTAATTTTGTTGATATAAAATCTCACTGTTACACACTTCTACAGTTTCCTCCCACAGTCCAACAACTTGTTGATCTCTAAAAATCTTTAAAGTGTAAAACCTTATGTCTTAAAAACTAAAATAACTAGTTATTGCTAGCCTTTTTAGGTTGTATACACTGGCATCTTTATGCAGCCTTGTGTGCATCTGAAACTGCCATGCAGACTGTATGTACTGTGGGACCAGCCTGGCCCTCTTTACTATGTGTAACGTACAACTCTGAGGGAACAAGAAATATAATAATGCAAAGTGAATGAGGTCTTGTTAAATAAATATTATATAATCTAAACTATATAACCTGATATCTTCTTTTGATTGATTGAGAATTTTTTTTGAACATGTAAAAGCAACAAAACACTAAAAATTAAGATAAAATAAAAGTAAAATGAAGAAAATATCAAATGAGAGGAAAAGAAAAGGAAAAAAGAAAAGAAAAGAAAACGAGAACAGGTCAAACCTTGTACATCAGACAGCTGCATTGTTAATTCTCATAACAAATTAAATTGAATCATACATTCTTTGGCTCCAAGTTTGATTATTTTGTCTTTATATACAGTAAAACACTTTTTTATTGAATTTATAAAAACAAAGCTGAGCTGCCCTGTTTCCTACTGTTGGACTTTAAAGAAATAAACCCCTTCCACACCATTTCCAGGTTAATAAAACATTTGTAGTGCCTGAACAAGCAAAGAGCAGACCATGAGACACTTTAATCTTCATCAGTCATTACATTACTTTAAATTTATTTAGCTTATGCTTTTATTCAAATGAACTTACAATAATTGCATTCAACCATGAGGTTATAACCCAAAAAAGAATTTCATCAAATATGCGGAACTGCTACAAGTTAGACTCAAAAAGAACTAGAGAAAGAGTTGTTTTGTTGTTGTTTTTCATGGGCCAAGGTGCAGTTTGAACAGTTGAGCTTTCAGTCTGTGAAAGAAGATGTGAGGATGTCAATGGGGAGCTTGTTCCACCACTGTGGAGCCAGGACAATTAAAAGTCCTGATTTTGTTGAGCACTTGCTGAAACATTTTGTCTGTTTTAAAAATAAAATATAAACACATCTCTTGGATGTGTAAAGCTTGGACAAAATTTGAGTGACTTTCATGTAGAATTACATGAATATATGCTCAATAAACGGAATGTTTTCAGTCGGGTCATTACTACCTCAAGATCAAGAACAGTAACAAAAAACAGATAATTGGATAATGGAAGGCTTTCCTTTAAAAAAAAAAGTCATGTGATGTCTTTAAAAGAGCTATTTTCAATAATGTTATTAAGGCTTTATACATTTCATTTTGTGTTTTGTCACTGTATAGAAGTTCGTTTTTAAATGTGATGCTTTTACATTTAAGAATGTAAATGTAATTATACTAATTTTTGTACTATAATTGTATTAATTAATATATTAATATTTATTTACATTAATTCATATTTTTTGTATGAATCTGTCCTAAACTGTGACAAGTTGTTGAATAAATTCTGATCTTAATAAAGACTTTTATCATCATCTTATTTCAACTTGAGATATTGGGGTTTACAATTACATTTACATGAGGATGAAAACTTCCAGTACAGAAGAAGTAGGGAAATCAGCTATAGGGCAAAGAATGGTCAGTTACTTTAATCTTAATATGAACATGTAATATGAACAAAGAGCTCTTTAGGTGTGAAACTGAGGGGATTTCTTCCATTGTGAACATAAAGCAAAACTCAAATACTGCATACAGTATTCTCCATTGGCAGCGTAAACAAGTTGTGAACACAACATTGACATATTATCACCTTTTATGTCAATATAGTGAATTTATTAGCAAACAGCTTTTTTTTACTTTTTTACACCTTCAGTGGTGACAGAGCAAAAATGTCATTTAGAGTCATGTTTCTGGCCACATGATGAATGTAAGTCAAAACTCACTCACTTTTAGGTCAGTTTTTGTTCTCTACCAACTCCTGAGGAGCTTCTAAATATTTGGCTTTTTAGCTGCTAAATGCTCATGCTAACTGTGTGTTTGCCTTTTGGTGTGGAGCAGGTAGTGTATACAGTGGGTTTTTAGAGCGTTTTTGCTGAAAACAACTGTCTGCTACAGCTGAAAACGAAGATATGAGAGTGGTGAGAGTAAACCAAAATGGTAAAGTTGCAGCTAAATAATGAACTGTAACTCTATAAATCCCTGTGAACTCCGCCCCAAACTCCAAATCAGGTCATAATTGTCTGTATGTTAATCACTACAAACAATGCCTCTTCATTGCACATCATCATTTGGTATGTTGATTTAACGTTATGCAGAATAATATGTGCTCCATTAATGGGGATGAAATGATTTAACTATGCAACTAGTTAATTAATTAATTAATTCTAGACTTTCCAATTGTTATCGGACCAAATGGATGGAAGTCTGATGGTGAAATTAATCATTTTGTTGGATTGTGACGCTCAGAAAAATGTATCCAAGAAGAAGAGTATTTTTTGGGCCAATGTGCATCAAGTGACAGCTGCTATATTGCTGTAATTAGTGGCATAAGGGGTAAAATAGATTTCCCTCAAGAAATATCATGTTCTTCCCTGTCCAACTGAACTGTTACATAATTTATAGGTGAACACACCTTGCTGCTTAGCACCTGACACACTAAGCTAAATCACTCATTTGTCTCTGAGGGATACACAGACAAATTGTGATAATTATGTCATTATCATTTTAAGACCATGATTAAATCCAATGATGGATGTACTGTTGAACCACCATTAATACGAGTGCTAAGGAATAAAGGTGAATGGAGGGAGAGAACAGAAATATGTTTATTATTATTGTTTTAGTCTGTAAATCAGAATGATAGTACCAAAAATATTCATTTTGGTATCAATCTGGACTGGAATTTGCTCTCTTATACTTCTATGTTCAGCTCTTTAACCACAAGGAGCTGATATCAATCAGATATCAGCATCCTGACAGTCCACAATGTCTGCGTCTGTAGTGCTTGCTGAAATATCTTGCTTTTTTATTTTGGCGCCCATGTTAACAGATTAGAGCAGCCACACTGCTCTACTGAGACGTGTGTCACAGGCTTCACTAGAGATTCGAGGCCTATTTTTTCCACGAATCGAGCCTGGTTCCCAGCAAAAAATGTGAAAATTATCTGTTCATAGTCAGATCAACTTTATACCAATAAAATACATACCTTTCACTACAGTTTCAATGTCTGTACCTAGAAGTAAAATATGTCATACACAGAAAATAATCTTTTTTTAAACTCAACATCTGTTTGAGAGTAAAAGCTCTCTCGCGATTCTGTAGACAGAATCCATTCATGTGTTAACAAGGCTTTTATTGTATTGAATTTATCAAAAGCAAACTCAGTATAAAAACAGCCGCTGCAGAAATGCTCTCTGTGTAAGCTGCAGCAGTTCAGGGAACATCTCTGTAAACGGTAAATGGTAAATAGTAAATGGACTGTACTTATATAGCACCTTTCTAGTCTTTCGACCACACAATGCACTGTACACTACATGCCACACTCACCCATCCACACATTCATACACTGATAGCAGTGGCTGCCATGCAAGGCGTCAACTGCTCATCAGAAAGGAAACAAATCATTCATACACACTCATACTCCGATGCACAACATGCGTTAGCCTACCTCACGTTTTAATGCTGTTCTGTCATCTGGGATGTAAAAACATCAGATTTCCACACAAAGTATGTAAAATTGTGCTGCTTATAGTTTGGTTATAAAATCTCAGCATACCACAGAGCGCTGTCAGATCAGGAGTCAATAACAGCGGACGGCAGTAGAGGAGGTTATACCACCGACTGCTTTAAAAGTGGTTTAGCAGACTTAACTGACAGTCAGCAGAGCAGAGTCGCTGCCCTGCTGTCTGGCATCACGCTGTCTCCAATAACTGCTGTGCTTCCAAGTTTTGTGGTTTGTGGTAATTTTGACACTCGGTTTGTAAAGTTTACAACCTGCCATGCTGTGTACAGTGACGCAGCTAAAAAACAAAACTGCAAAGATTTCAGTAACAAAATGCAAAGTTTGTGACTGATGATTGGAACTATTGACTTTTGGTTCCATTCAAGTACCGAGTACGGTGGCCCAGAGGTGTCAG